TATAAAATATATACATGCACATTTTTTCTTAAATGTATACATGCATGTGTGGGTATTTATATATACAAATTAATTATACACACTACACAAACATACAGTATATTATGTAAACACAAACTTTTATTTTGGATGCGATTAATCACGATTAATCGTTGCCGGTCTTTCCTTGCCATTAATGTTGGATATCACACACACACACACACACACACACACACATACACGTCTCCTTCCATTAACAGTAATGTCTAGTGCGATGGCTCTGATTATATACATAAACCCACCGAAATCCTTCACCATGATTTAAAAAATGACGTTTTAATCGCATAACATCGGTTAATGGAAACGCCGTCATTTCACAACAGTTTTTATCGACATTTACATTTATATTTATCAGACACTTTTATCCAAAGCAGCTTACATTGCTTCTCAAGCAAGGTACACATTTACATTCTCATCAGTTGTTGCTTTCCCTGGGGATCGAACCCATGACCTTGGCGTTGCGAGCCGCAGTGCTCATGGGAAAGTGTTGTCCTGTCACCTGTGCTGGTGTTTCCAGACTGCGGCGCTGGACAGGAGGAGTGGGCCTGTGGGAAGCCCTGTCCTCGCTCCTGCTCAGATCTGCACACACACACGGAGTGTGTGGACGAGCCGGGCTGCAGTCGGACCTGTGGCTGTCCCGGAGACACGCTGATGCAGGACGGGGTGTGTGTGGACCGAGAGCTGTGCCGCTGCACGTTTCGCAACCTCAGCGCAGGTCTGCACACGTACACTATATGCTTACTTACTATTCATACTTTTATTTGCTTTTTGTGATATTTTCCATTATAATTTAAATTTGGAGTTTTAGTCATTTTGTTGTTTTTTATACGTTTTGTTTTATTTACGTTTATTTATTTCCATTAATCTGTTTATATATACTGTGTATGTTAAAATATTATGTATATTTTTTGCTTTATTTAACTTTTTTTGCATGTGTGCTTTAGTTGTTTTTTATTATTTAAAATTTTTTTAATGTCCTTTTAGTTTAGTTAATTTTTATTTCAGTTTTAGTATTTTTACTTCTTCATTAGTTTTGTTATTCCTTTTATTATTTTTTAGTTAATTTTACTTTAATCATTTTATTTATTCAATTATTATTTTTTAAATGTCTATTTAGTTTTTAATAGTAATTTTCCTACTTCTAACTTAAACTAAACAACAATCAGAAATTGCTTTCACAAATATTTGTTTTTGTTTTTTTGTACTTTGTTTCTGTTCACATTAAAACAACACCAATTAATGGATTATTATTATTATTTTTTTTGTATTTTTAGTTTTAACCTCTAAACAATGCTGGGTTGTTTCAAAACAAATTTGGGTCATATATGGACAAATCCAAATCTTGGGTTAAAAAATTTTTAAATGGCATTTTTAACCCAATATTTGGATTTGTCCATATTTGACCCAAATTTGGGTTGAATGTGCTATTCTAAAACGAGCCCTGAAACAAACACACAGCGGTATAGGAGTTACAGACGCTGAAATGACGTGCACTCGTTCTCACAGCGGGAATAAACTCTGGGAATGTTTCCTGGGAATGGCCGGGATCGTCGGACTGGCAGCAAGCAGACCCAGGAGAGACCGTCACCACCGACTGTCAGAACTGGTATGATACTCCATGATCATGCAGCTTGTGTTGTCGGTGAAGGCGTTCTGAAACAGTGTGTGTGTATGTGTGTGTGTGTGATCCTCTAGTACATGTGAAGCCGGTGTGCTGCAGTGTGACTCCGCTCCTGGATGCTCCGTCGACGGCAGCTGGAGCCAATGGGGTCGCTGGACAGATTGCTCCGCCCACTGTGGAGGCGGGGTCAAGTCGCGCTCCCGTCAGTGTGATAACCCCGCCCCTCAGAGCGGCGGCAGAGAGTGTACGGGCTCCGGCCGACAGCAGAAAGAGTGCAACACTCACAACTGCACAGGTGAGTCATGTGACCCCGGACCACAAAACCAGTCACATGGGTCAATATTTTGAAACTGAGATTATACATGATCTGAAAGCTGAATAAATTCGCTTTCCATTGACGTATGGTTTGTTATGATATGACTGAGATTCAGCTTGGAATCTGAGGGTGCAAAAAAATCGAAACATTGAGTAAATCTCCTGTAAAGTTGTGCATTTATGTTCTTGATTTTGCTGCATTCACTCACAAAAATAAATGTTTTATATATTTACGGTAGGAAATTTACTAAATATCTTCATGGAACATGATTTTACTTGATATCCGTATGATTTTCTGCATAAAAGAAAAATCTATAATTTTGAGCCATTGTCGGCTATTGCCGCAGATAGACCCGTGCGACTCGTGACTGGGTTAGTGATCCAGGGTGTCATGTGTGGTTTTGGAAATCTCAGTTTTCTCCAAGTCCACTTGCTCTCGTAGATTCGGGCCCGTGGTTGGACTGGTCGGCGTGGTCCTCGTGCTCGGTCAGCTGTGGCGGAGGCTCTCAGAGTCGAACCCGCTCCTGCCGGACGCCCCCCTGCTCCGGGATGAGGCGCCAGAGCAAGACCTGCAACACACACGTGTGTCTGGGTACGTCCTCTCTGAGCGAGAACACCAATGCACCATTTACTTTAGGCCCATGAACACGGTCCGATTGGGGCTTACGGTTCCAATTAAATAAATAAAAAAGTAAAAAAAAATAAATAAATAATAATAATAATAATAAAAAATGAAGAAAATAAAGCATATTTTATTAGGACCATTAAGCTGGTCAGTGTGATATAGTGTGGATATAAAATAAAATAATGCTAAATAAAATAATGTAAAAAAAAAAAAGCAAACCAAAAACATTTTTTAGTACCATTAAGATGATCGATGCATGTGGGGCTTGATGCAAAAATGAACAAATAAATATGCGAATATTGCAAAATAAATAAATAATGCAAAATATGCAAATTGTGCAGAGTAAATAAATAAAGCAAAATAAAGAAAATAAAGCCTATACTTCAGGACCAATTATAATTGTCAGTGTTTTGGGGGCTTTATCCATAAATAAATAGTGCAAAATAAATGAATATCTCATTCTTTTTTCTTGCTAGGAATAAAATCATTGAAAAACATGCAGGTCTATACGTGTAATTAAATAATCTGAGCTCCTAAATGAAGTGCTAGCCAATAGATTAGGTGCTCTTTCTTTTATTATGTTCTATTTTACACACATTATGTGGAATATCAGAGGAAGAATGGACAGGATGTTTGACTCAGATGTGCTTTAATGTCTGTGTCTTAATGTCACACACACACACCCCAGGGTTTAAGATTTAGAGAGCGGTGTGTTTTATTCCCAGAAAGCGTTTGTTCTTGTTTTTAAAAGAGCTCAGTTCCTGACAGAAGATGTGAGCGCTTCAGGAATACTCCAGACCAGATCGTCTGTGTCCGAGAGTGTCTCAAACGGGTTGTTCTGTGTGTGTCACTGAGTGTGAAGTCAAGGGGAACGCCGGATAACACACACCACCTCATTTAAAAGTCAAATGTCCCAGAATCCCTTGTGATCTTCTCCCCAAATCCCCTGTAAACTCAAACGAGACGCTCCTGTCCTTGAGCTCTAATCTGAAAACTGCTGTATTTATTTACATATTTCAATATTTTTGCTAGCTTGAATTATATAATGACTTTCAGGCGTCTTGCCTTAAGAATAAAGGACATTAACACGTCTTTTAAAGGCAGAAAGAGTGTGTGTCTCCACTTCTGCAGCTCATATCTGTATTCTGAACGTTTAAAAACATGTGAATAGGAACTTTTTTTATGTGTTTTTTTTCCCTCTAAATTATGGAGTGATAAAAAAATCCCCTCAGTAAAAACCCTCAACTCTGATGAGTCAACAAAACAAAAACTATTTGAGCCCGGCTTTATTCGATGTTCAGATCATTTTTTTGGGAAATGTATGTAAATTACGCATATTTTAATTAGATTCTAAACCACAAATATCTGAACATTACATTTCAGAAAACGCATCCTTAAAACTTATCAACTTGTGTGTGTGTGTGTGTGTGTGTTGAGCAGAGGTGGGCTGTCCCCCTGGCCGTCTCTACAGGGAGTGTGAGGACGGGGAAGGCTGTCCGTTCAGCTGTTCTCAGGTCAGAGGTCACGAGGGCTGTTACTCGGAGGGCTGTGAGGAGGGCTGCCACTGTCCACCCAACACCTTCCAGCACAGCGGCTCCTGTCTGCACGTGAGCACACACTCCGATACAACAAAACATCCTGTATTATCAATATCTAAGGCCAGACAAGTCATTCAAGAGGTCAAACTGTGAAGACTGCGCACATATACAGTCAAACACACATACTGTATCTATAGACTAAACACAGTCAGTGTTGGGTGAGTTACTCTAAAAAAGTAATTAATTACTAGTTACTAATTACCTCTTCAACAGTGTAATTAGATTACTGTACTAATTACTCTCTCTAAAAAGTATTTAATTACTTTTAATTACTTTCAAAATCCCATATCAATCTCAACCAGCTGAATAATACAAGGATAGACATGAATCTGCTTTAATTCTTTCAAATAAATACTATAAAATTGCATGAATTATCCTTAAACTGACCAAGGTGGAGAAGGTTACATTATAAAAACATACTTTTTAGCATCAGACAATACATTTTGATGTTAAACCCACTATTCTTTTATGTCTGATCTCAAGACATTTCACACTTTTTTCATACATATTTTACACAAATTTGTACGAGTGCGGTCGTAATATTTAGACACCTCATAAAATGCATACGAATCGCTGTAAGATCGGATTGATCTATACACAGTATTTACCTCAATTACATCAGAAGTAACTGTAATTAAATTACAGATAAATGAAGAGTAATCCCTTACTTTACATTTTCAAGGGAAAAGTAATTAAATCACAGTAACTAATTACTTAGTGATTAGTCACACCCAACACTGAACACAATACACATGTGCACGCCGTCAGCTTTACACAGATTCCCCTGTTTCATGTGTGTGTAGGAATGTCCATGTCTGGTGGACTCAGACTTCCTGACCGCTTTACAGAGTGTATCGTTGACCCCTGAGTTGACCCCTGACCTCCTGAACATCAGCGTGGGGTCAGAGCTGGCGTCGGGAGAGGAACTGGTGCATGAGTGCAGCTCCTGGTACTGTGACTGACCTTCACCTCTTTTCATTAATTACTCTCGGTTTTTCACTGCATTTACTTTAGTAAATACACATGCACACACACACACACACAAAGAAAAACAAGCAAAATGATCTGCCAATGGGGTCAGAAAAATAATATTGAAGTTTTTTTTTCCGCATTGGCAGATCATTTTACTTGTTTTAAGCAAAAACTGACTTCATTTTGATTATTTCCCCCGGAAAACAAGACATAATTCCTCATCATTTTGCTCTTCTAGTAAATGCATCTCGATTTGAGAATGTTTGGTTATTTGTTTGCCTGATTGTTTCTGTCCCGAAGCTGGTGTGAACACGGCGTGTGGAACTGCTCTCTGGCGGCCTGTCCCCGTGATGGCGGCCCGTCCCCGTGGGGCCCCTGGGGGTCCTGCTCGCTCAGCTGCGGGGGTCTCGGCCAGAAGCGGCGCGGCAGGACCTGCACCCGGCCCAGTCCTGCTCACGGGGGCCGAGACTGTGACGGACCCCTGACGGACACCGCGTACTGCCAGACGCCCGACTGCCCGCGTACATGCCACACACACTCAGAGATTAACTCATGGGCTACTGTTATTCATCACTTCATACTAATTCTGTTCTTGATGGTCTTTACAGTGGTCACAGTTCCGACAGAGGAGCCATCTTTACCAGGTACATTTATTTATTTATTTAGCAAAATATTAATTATGTATATATTAGTGCTGGGCAACGATTAATCACATCCCAAATAAAAGTTTGTGTTGTGTGTATTATTCATTTGCAAATATAAAACACACACATGCATCTATACTAGGGCTGTCAAACGATTAATTGTGATTAATTGCATTCGCATCCAAAATACAAGTTTTTGTTTGCATTTTACATGTTGGTGCACTGTGTATAATTATTTTATATAAATATATATATATATATATATATATATATATAAACACACACACATGCTTGTATATATTTAAGAAATATTTTCATGTATATACTGTATAGAGATTTATATATAATTTATATTATATATAAATATAAATATTTTATATATAAATAATATTTTTTTCTTAAATATAGATGCATGTGTGTGTATACAAAGTAATTACACATAGTGCACCCACATATATTATGTAAACACAAACTTTTATTCTGGATGCGATTAATCGCGATTAATCGTTTGACAGCCCTAATCTATACATTTAAGAATGATGTTATTTATATATAATATAAATTATGTATAAATATATATATAGTATACATGCAATCATTTCTTAAATATATACATGCAAGAACTTTTATTTTGGATGTGATTAATCGTTTCCCAGCACTAATATATGAAGAGTTCAGATGCAAAAGCCTCTAAATGCCATTTGAAATGTTCTTCTTTAATGATGATTTTTATCAAACTTGTATATTTATGTTCAGTAATTTCACTTAAATAACAATTAATAGGTAATTATCATTGCCATTTAAGTGAAATTACTGAACTTAAATATACAAGCTTGATAAAAATCATCATTAAAGAAGAAAATTTCAAATGGCACTTAGAGGCTTTTGCATCTGAACTCTTCATATATATATATATATATATATATATATATATTGGGTGTTATGATACACTTTCCTCACTAGGCGACACACAATATTGGGTTCACAAGAATGCGATATTTTAAGACTTTACAATCCTTTTTTTGACTAAAAGTCACGAAATGCATAACAATCAGGTGTGTTTTGAAATGTTTGAGCTAATCTTTTCGCTGCCACTAGCGATATCAAGTAATCGCTCGATTATTTTGACAATTGATTGATTATTTGTGGTAATAAAAATAGACTTAAGTGAACAAAAGCATTTAAAATGTAATAACAATGAGGCAATAATAATCGTTTCAGATAAAGTATGAAAAGCAATTGATCATATTGTTTTATTGAACAACACTTAAAATACATAATGTAATATACATAATATGATCAGCTTAGAGTGTGTGCGTCATGTATTATAAGAAACGCCTGCAGAGGGCGCCAGCGGCCCGGGGATTGTTATTGTTATTACACTTTACAGCATTACCAAATCCATGTTTAATACTGGACAAACAACATTTCATTCAAAGTCAATCACTTCTTTACGATAGCAATGCTACAGCCAATGAGATGTCCTGAACATGATCATGTGGACAGGCCAAGAGCACAAGATCTACATCGAATAATCTTCCTGTTCTCCTGTGTGCAGATGAGGACGCTGGGATGTCGCCGTGGAGCGCGTGGAGTCCGTGTTCCCGATCCTGCAGCGATCCGGCTTCTCCGGCTGTGAAGTCCCGCAGGAGAGAGTGTGTTCAGGAGCGCTGCTCTGGAGAGACTCGGCAGGAGAGAGTGTGTAATCTGCCTCAGTGTCCCGGTACGTCTCTCGTATCACACTCATCTCAGTCGTTACACGTCCTGCAGAGAGAGAGAGATGTTCCTCATTAACTACTGGAGACTCAAGATTATGGATTACAGATATGAAAACCCCAAAATCAAAATTAGAATACTGTAAAAAGGTTTATCTGTAATCCATAATCATCAAAATGACAACAAATAAAGGCTTGAAATATCTCACTTTGCATGTAATGAGTCTATATAATATATTAGTTTGACTGAAATAAATGAACTTTAGCAGGAGACTCTAATGTTTGGAGCTTCGCCTGTGTGTGTTGTGTGTGTGTCAGATGGAGGTGTGTGTCAGGAGGCCGAGTGTGTGCTCAGGAACTGCTCCTGGATGCAGTGGGGCGAGTGGAGCTCCTGCTCTCGGTCCTGTGGCGTGGGTCAGCAGCAGCGGGTCAGAACCTTCCTCGCCCCGGGCCTCAACGGGACCTGGTGTCCGGACATCCTCGGCGGGAACCTGGAGCACCGCTTCTGTAATATCCGGGCCTGCCGCGGTGAGTTACGGGCCTTCACACTACCTCCTGGATCAACTGTCCAATCAACCAATCAGATTTCAGGGACAAGTTTACAGTTTCTGTCGAGTTCAGGCTTAGAGCCAGACGTCAGTGTCGTTCACCTCTCATTACCCTCTGATTTTAGGGAACAGTTATGGGTAGGGTTGGGTTTATGGGTAGGGATTGAGTACGATTGGGACAGGAATGTTGATCCAGGATCACCGTGACCTTTCACAAACACACCGGTAGTTCTAGGATCTCGCCACCAGGGTGTTTCCCCGAGAGCTGACGGTTCCTCTAGGAGGGTCTCGTGTCTTATGTCATGTGTGGTGTGGTGTGTCCAGTGGACGGGGGCTGGTCCCGCTGGAGCTCGTGGTCTCGCTGTGATAAGGCGTGTGGCGGAGGACGCTCCATCAGGACCCGCTCGTGCTCCAGTCCTCCGCCGAAGAACGGGGGCCAGAAGTGCAGCGGAGAGAAGAACCAGGTCAAGCCCTGCAACACCAAACCCTGCGGTACGACACAACACACACCATTCAACTCTACACACTCCGCACATTAAACACTCACTCACTGGGACACAGTTTGATTTTATCCGTCAGGATTTGATTGTGTCTTCTGTATTATTGGTTAAAGGGATAGTTCACTTTGAAATTAATTTTTGATATGTTTTATCTTCCCTCAAGGGCATCCAAGCTGTAGGTGTCTTTATTTCCACAGTATTTTCAAGTCAAACCGTTGTTGTCTATCAGTCATACACTGGAGGCTAAGGGGGTCCACCAAAGAGCAGCACAGAGAAGTCCAAATTAAACATGATTTAATGACTCGTACATGTAAGTACACACTGATGGCCTAAGACACGAAACGAGCGGTTTGTGTGAGAAAACCAACAGTGTTTATATCGTTTTACCTCGTGTGTTCAGTGATCTGAATCAGTTGAACTGAACCGAACTGAATCAGTTCAATGTTACGCCGGAAGTGATCGCTTGCGTGTGACGTCACTCAATATTTACACGGAGATTTCGGAAGTTTTACCTTTTACTAAACATATTTAGATATATCGAAATCGTCTTCCATTGCGGTTTCCCGTATATCTAAATATGTTTAGTGAAAGGTAAAACTTCCCAAATCTCTGTATAAACAAAGAGTGACGTCGGCGCGCGAGCGATCACTTCCAGACCGAAGCGCCCGTGCCGTCAGATCATTTTATCATGGCTGTGATTACACGAGGTAAAACGATATAAACACTGTTGGTTTTCTCACACAAACCGCTCGTTTCGTGTCTTAGGCCATCAGTGTGTACTTACATTTACGAGTCATTAAATCATGTTTAATTTGGACTTCTCTGTGCTGCTCTTTGGTGGACCCCCTTAGCCTCCAGTGTATGACTGATAGACAACAACGGTTTGACTTGAAAATACTGTGGAAACAAAGACACCTACATCTCAGATGCCCTTGAGGTAAGATAAAACATATCAAAAATTAATTTCAAAGTCAACTATCCCTTTAAGCATTTTAACCCTGTATAGCCTGACATCTGAAATAATAGGCAGAAAAAAAAGATCTTTATGTTTTTTATCATATTTCATCAGGCTTTTATGGTGAGAAAAAACACCTTAATATACCGTTTTCTGCAGATGCTATATTAATATGAAATAACTCTAACTAAAAATCTTTATAACTACTGACATAATGCATATAAATATCAGTCGTCACTTATGTCTAATTGTGTCACTTATGATCTTACCTATAGTAAGACTGATGAAATGTAAATGCTTCGTTTTATGATCAATGCAACGTAATTCAATGATGATTGAGAGATGAAAAAATAAGCTTCTTGATGATACTCAAAAAAGATGTATGGTGATAATGGTGATGTAAACCAGCAAGTTTTCATCTTGAAAAGTTACCAACGTTTCCTCACCGCAAAAAACACATGAATCACGAGCTGGAGGAGGACGTTTGTACAGTTATTTTATAAAATAAAAGTCTTTTACTATGAGTCTAAACTCTCCATCAGACGCAGAAGGACTGGAGGAGTGTGTGGAAGAGATATTGATCATTTAGAGGCCTGTGTATTAAATATGATACAGTAGTTATGAGTGTGTGTGTGTGTGTGTGTGTCCCGGTGCAGATGATGCCGGCTGTCCTCCAGGGCAGGAGTTTGTGTCGTGTGCGAACGAGTGTCCTCAGCGCTGCTCCGACCGACAGCAGGGCATCGAGTGCCGGACCGACGCCGAGTGTGAGCCGGGCTGCCGCTGCCCACGAGGTAAACACACGAGCACCAGCTCAACAAATCTAGTTACAAGGGAAACAATACTTGACACACGGCAAACATGAGGGCTTAACTCTTGTGCATCAATTAAAAAAAGTTACACATAGGTAAAAAGAGGACAAAAATGTCCATGTCAAAAAACTGTCATAAAAATGTGACGCTTTGGAGCACAGACTTAAGTTTGGTATCATTTTAAAGAAGACCCTTTGCAGATTCTTGCTGAAGTAAAAAAAATAATAAGTTAATCCAAAAAAAAGTTATATAGGTATAAGTTTATGAAAAAATATTTTATATAAAATATATTTTTTAAATCAGATTGAACTCAAAACTACAATAAAATCAAAGCCATGAATCTAAATAGGTTGTGTTCCAAATTTGAGGATGATATGTCAAAAAATGAGCTTGGGTAACAGTTTGTTTGGGCGTAGTAACATATTTTCCCCATTGGGTGGCAGCAAAACCCCACTGGAGCTCACAGTGATTTGAGTTTTTCTCTCTCAGTATTACAAACACACACACACATATTTTTTATAACACACACACTAACCACACTCTGACATCCATACCAACACACCCACACTAATGTTGTTGGATAATTTATCCAGTTGGCTCTGTAGTATGTTCGAACCAGAAAACAGGAATAAAGCGATATTTGTTTTATAGGCCAAACTTAAAAAAAATGTCACATCTGATAAAAAAATAGTAAAAAATAAAAATTTTGAAGCCTTGCATCAGAATGAAAGCCTCTTAACAAAGATTGCATAATTTTATAGTTAACTGAACGGGGGTTAAAAATGGCAGTTTTAATGGGTTTCATGGGGACATTTTTGTCCAAAGGTGCTGAGAGGGAGTATTTTTTTGTACCTAATGCAAAAAATATTTTTTTAAGAAAATGACTGTGAAATAGTAAAATTCCAATAAAAATACACACCTGTGCCAAGTGTTTTGCAGTTAGCTTTAACACAGGCAAAGTGATCAAAAAAACTAAACTGAAAAGGACAAAAATGTCCATAAGGATGCACAAGGGTTAAACACATGAGACTAATGACTGAACAAGACACACCTGTGCACAATGAACCAATGACAACACAGAACACGTGGCAGGGTCACATGACGGCCAGGGAACCACATGACAAGACCTGACAGATGTGTTGAAAATATAAACATCATGAATATAATGCTCACTGACAGCATACAGTAGCGTGTGTGTGTGTGTGTGTGTGTGTAGGCCAGCTGGAGCAGGACGGTGTGTGTGTTCAGCGGTGGCAGTGTGACTGCGTGGACGCGTGGGGTCAGAGCTGGGCGGCGGGCAGCACACACCCGCTGGACTGTAATAACTGCACCTGCGCAGACGGAGAGCTGCACTGCACTGATCACGCCTGCGCAGACGCCAGCAGCTGCAGCTGGAGCTCCTGGTCCACCTGGGCGTCCTGCAGCGCCACCTGCGGCCCGGGGCGGAGGACACGCTTCAGGTGCGAGGCGGGCACTGATGCCCAGTGTCTCAAACACGGATTTATAATTCCACACTGACTCTGCTGTGTGTGTGTGTGTGTGTGTGTGTGTGTGTGTGTGTGTGTGTGTGTGTGTGTGTGTGTGTGTGTGTGTGTGTGTGTGATGTCCTGCAGATCTCTGGTCCCGGAGGCTGACGGCGTGAGCTGCCAGTTCGAGGAGGTCCAGCACAAGGTGTGTGACCCGGGCCCGTGTCCTCCGCTGTGTGTGCGGGACCAGCGCCAGCTGGCGGTCGGAGACTCCTGGTTACTGGGCGAGTGTGAGCAATGGTGAGAGACACTGGCAACAGGGACAATGCTGCAGTTTGGTTTTTTAAAATCATGGGAATAAATGGACATTGTGCAAACGTCTGCAAAAACTGTGTGTGTTTTCAGCACCTGCATCCCTGAAGGAGAATACTGCCAAGATATCGACTGTCGAGGTGTGTGTGTGGTACAAACATGCTACTCAAGTACATTATATTAAATGTATAGTCTTTCTCATTTATTTGTGTACACACACATATACATACATATAAATAATTTATATATTTAAAGAAATTTATTAATTTTAATTTAACTTTTAGTATTTTATGTACTTTTGTCATATTAATTAGTTTTATTTGTGTTTAATTTATTTTTATTTCAGTTTTTTACATTTTTCTTACATTTTTTTTAAGTTTAGATTTTGTTTTATTTTATTTCAGCTTTATTTTTCTTACTGGAAATGATTTATAATAGTTTTAGTTAACAATAACATAAATGTATTATAAACTGTGACGACTTGCCCCGGTGTGATTAGCCTCTCCTGTGACGACTTGCCCCGGTGTGATTAGACTCACCTGTGACGACTTGCCCCGGTGTGATTAGCCTCTCCTGTGACGACTTGCCCCGTGTGATTAGACTCTCCTGTGACGACTTGCCCCGGTGTGATTAGACTCTCCTGTGACGACTTGCCCCGGTGTGATTAGACTCTCCTGTGACGACTTGCCCCGGTGTGATTAGACTCTCCTGTGACGACTTGCCCCGGTGTGATTAGTCTCTCCTGTGACGACTTGCCCCGGTGTGATTAGACTGTCCTGTGACGACTTGCCCCGGTGTGATTAGACTGTCCTGTGACGACTTGCCCCGGTGGGATTAGACTCTCCTGTGACGAATTGCCCCGGTGTGATTAGTCTCTCCTGTGACGACTTGCCCCGGTGTGATTAGACTGTCCTGTGACGACTTGCCCCGGTGGGATTCTTGTAAGATAGAGATGAAACTCTATTTCTGTATGTCCCATGATCCTCCAGTTCAGATTGCCGAGTTGTTGATTATATCTGCTGTGTGATGCATTAGTGGACGGTGGATGGACGCCGTGGTCCGTGTGGTCGGACTGTCCCGTGACGTGTGGGAAGAGTACACAGATCCGCACCCGCGCCTGTATCAACCCTCCGCCGCGACACAACGGCACACACTGCACTGGACCTGAGAGAGACACCCAGGACTGTCACGCTGCACTGTGTCTTGGTACTGGACAACACTTTTCCTTATGTAGAGAAACACTCAGCGGACACATGATCTGTTCTGAGTGCAGTTCAGTAATGCTTGTGTTTTAGGGTCGATTAACTGCTATATCTAGCAATCATAGAGTGAAAGTTTATGATTTGGACCTGTTTTGTCTTGCCAGTTTACACATTCGAACTATTATAAATGTGGAAGAAGAGGCAAAAATCAGGACTAGCAGTGTTGTAACAGAACACATTTCTGTATTTGTTTTTATTTGATTACTGACTGTTCACTTATTTTAATAATGTTAGAACTTACCAGTTAGGCCAGTAGTTTTTGCAGTGGTATTGAAGACCTTCAAGTGAGCTTTAAGTAATAAATGAAAAGTAAAGTTACACCCCCCATGTGTATATATATATATATATATAGTATATATCAAGAGTTCAGATGCAAAAGCCTCTAAATGCCGTTTGAAATTTTTTTCTAGAATGATCATTTTTGTCAAGCTTGTATATTTAAGTTCAGTGATTTCACTTAAATGGCAATGATAATTACCTATTAATTGTTATTTATAGTGAAATCACTGAACTTAAATATACAAGTTTGATAAAAATCATCATTAAAGAAGAAAATTTCAAATGGCATTTAGAGGCTTTTGCATCTGAACTCTTCATATATAAATATTATTATTATTATTTTTTTGAAAAAAGGCTAAAAAAAATCCGACCCGTGGCTCGATGACCGTAAATGATCCGAACCGTTTATTTTGTGACCCATTTCCCCGTCTTGTGTTGTGACCTTTGACCTCTGGTTCCCACAGACGACCTTTGCCCCTGGTCCCCGTGGTCGGCCTGTTCGCGCAGCTGCGGGTCAGGCGTGATGTCCAGGCGCCGGGAGTGTGTGTGTGAGGACGACGGGGATCACGCGTGTCCTCCGGAGCTGGAGAGGGGCGGCGAGGAGACTCAGCTGTGTTATAACAGACCCTGTCCAGGTTAAACCTTGATATCAGCCAATGAGAGCAGGGCTTTTCATGCATTTTGCTCTGGCTCTTTTGCTTCGATTACATGGGAATAGTAAATAGAAAGCATCCAAAATAATGATTGAACGGGAATAAAACACATTTAAAATTAATTTAAACATATTAAAGAAAGAAAAGAAAGATCAAAAGACATCCAAAATGAAACAAAAATTTTGAACTTGGCAAATACATGCATATTTAATTTGATAATGCCTCATTTTTATATTTAAAACATAAAACTTGTAATACAGAATTTAATGTCTTAATGTACTGTGATTAAATATCTGGTATACAGGTATAGTGATATCTATTATTTACTTAAAGTCCCCCTGTAGTCGATCATTTCATCCCTAAAAACTAATTTTTCATCACCAAAATTATACATTTAAATGTTTTTTTCTTAAAATATCTTGAATGTAACTCGACACCCTTGCCTCATTTAGTATGTGCAGCTCTATGAATATGCAAATGAGCCCCGCCTCCACTCACTCAGAGATCCACTGGTTGATCTGATTGGTTCCAAGGTGGTTTGTGACGTCAGAAACACCAAAGCGTGTTTTTGAGACTGTCTTTGGTTCACTGCAGTTTTAAGGAGGAAATACTCGGCAATGCTGTCCACTTATCAACGCACACATGGTGTGTGTGTTACAGCGCATTAAACACACCACACACACACATAAACAACATTAAACACTGGATTCTCACCACAGACTTTAAACTCGGCTTAAAAACTGACGTTACTCGAGTCTGTTCTTCACTATTGTAGGAGGGATGTTAACTAATGACGTTCACTTAAATCATTTATAATACACCTTGCAACATTCTGTAATAAAAATACAAATTGTGAATTGATTTGACTGACTTTAACTGTGCTCCCCGCTCTCTCCGTCAGCCTGTCCGATGTCAGAATGGAGTGTGTGGAGCGAGTGTTCGTGTGTGTCTCAGTATCAGCAGAGGTTTCGTGCGCCGCTCGTGTCGGCCAGTAGAGGGCAGAACTGCAGAGATCTGGAGCGCCAGAGCCGACCCTGCACACCGGACCACTGCCACGGTGTGTGTGAACAGCCTTACACACACACTGCAATATCATGCTGCCAGGGTTTAAAATTAACTTAACTCACCGGCCAATTTGGCTGATAAATGTTTATGTTACCAGCCATTCAGAACTTCTACTAGCCCCAAAAATAAAAAAAATAACTAAAAATAAACCATGTTAAAGTAGTAGTTCACTTTAAAAAAAAAAACTTTTGCTGATAATTTACTCACCCCCGTGTCATCCAAGATGTCCATGTCTTTCTTTTTTCAGTCGAAAAGAAATGAAGGTTTTTGATGAAAACATTCCAGGATTTTCTCCATATAATGGACTTCAATGGGGTCCAAACGGTTCAAGGTCCAAAAGACAGTTTCAGTGCAGCTTTAAACGACTCCAGACGATGAATAAGGGTCTTATCAAGTGAAACGATCACTCATTTAATCAATAAATAACAAAGTTTAAGTTTTATAAGCTCAAACGCTCGCCTTGCTCTGTTCTGTGATGCGCGTTCGTGACTCTCCTGTTCAAACTCGTTCGTTTTAATGAACAAATCTTTTTTGGTGTCATTTGGTTCATTCAACGAATGAAACAGCTTAAACTTTGTTATTTATTTATTAAATGAGTGCTCGTTTCGCTTGATAAGACCCTTATTCATCGTCTGGAGTCGTTTAAAGCCCTTTGAACAGTTTGCACTGAAACTGTCTTTTAGACCCTGAACTGTTTGGTTCCCATTGTGATTGGTTGAGCACTTTGAGTGTGTTTGGGAAATGCCCCGCCCCTTTCCATAACCACCAGTTTAACACACTACTAACTAACTCAACCAGGCCCCGCCCCTTTATTCTGCGCATGAATTATTATAATGAGGAATATTGTGACGTGTTCGTTCAGGAACACTGACACTGATATAGAGGAGAACTGGAGCTTTCCATGATCACACACTGAAGAGATGTGAAATATCATAATCATCTTTTATTGTGCTGTTTGTTTGCTCTTTCAATCCTCTGTTGATCTGAATGTGTGTTAGATTGTGAGAAGCCGTTCCTGTTCTCTGAATGTGGATCTCCCTGTGAGAGACAGTGTGATCTGTTGGGTCAAACACACACGTGTGTGTCCCGTCAGAACTGCACAGCCGGCTGCTTCTGTCCCGAGGTTCGTCTTAACTAACACTGCACACGAACACTCGTTAAAGAGACAGTGATTATGTTGTTCCAAACCTGTATGAGTTTCTTTCTTCTGATGAACACAAAAGAAGAGCTTTTATAATCAAACAGGCGATTGGTCCCCATTCACTTCCATAGGATCTTTTCCCCTGTTCTACACAAGTCAATGGGGTCCAATCAGCTGTTTGATTATAAATCTTTTGTGTTCATCAGAAGAATGAAACTCATTAGGGACAGCTCGAGGTCGAGGACATTTTTGGGTGAACTGTCTCTTTAGCACTTCACTATAAGGTCTCATTTTGTAAATATTAGAAAGAATGAGAAATATATATATTTTACAGCAATTAATCTACTACAGTTACCCACAGTGAATTAACTAAAGTTAACAGATTTTATAAACGTATTAGTGATGTTGAAATTACAGTTGACTTGTTTATGTAATATAATGTACTTTAACTAAAAGTCTAAAGTGTTACCAGATTTTCACAAAATAGAGGAAAAAGAAAAACATTTCAAAATGAGTGATTAAATAACTAATTAAATACTGGAATATTGTTACATTTTCCTATGTAATGTGAGAACAAATGTTCTTTTATATACTGTGTTGATTTTCTAAGACTGAGTCGAGCTTGTTAGACGTGTGTGGAGAGATTGAGAGTAAGACTGTATGAGATGTTGTTAGACGTGTGTGGAGAGACTGATGTGCGAGCGCTCTGTTCTTCAGGGTCTCCTGCATCAGAACGGGTCGTGTGTTCCTCAGGATCAGTGTGGATGTGTTCAGCTTCTTCATCAGGACTCAGACAAACCTGTGGCCATCACTGTCCAGCAGGGGGCGCTGGTGACCATCGGCTGCACTACATGGTGCTCTATCTATCTATCTATCTATCTATCTATCTATCTATCTATCTATCTATCTATCTATCTATCTATCTATCTATCTATCTATCTATCTGTCTGTCTGTCTGTCTGTCTGTCTGTCTGTCTGTCTGTCTGTCTGTCTGTCTGTCTATCTATCTATCTATCTATCTATTTGTCTGTCTTTCTGTCTGTCTGTCTATCTGTCTATCTGTCTATCTATCTATCTATCTATCTATCTATCTATCTATCTATCTATCTATCTATCTATCTATCTATCTATCTATCTATCTATCTATCTGTCTATTTGTCTGTCTTTCTGTCTGTCTGTCTGTCTATCTATCTATCTATCTATCTATCTATCTATCTATCTATCTATCTATCTATCTATCTATCTATCTGTCTGTCTGTCTGTCTATCTATCTATTTATCTATCTATCTATCTATCTATCTATCTATCTATCTATCTATCTATCTATCTATCTATCTATCTATCTATCTATCTGTCTATCTGTCTATCTATCTATCTATCTATCTGTCTATCTGTCTATCTGTCTGTCTATCTATCTATCTATCTATCTATCTATCTATCTATCTATCTATCTGTCTGTCTGTCTGTCTGTCTGTCTGTCTGTCTGTCTGTCTGTCTGTCTGTCTGTCTGTCTGTCTGTCTGTCTGTCTGTCTGTCTGTCTGTCTATCTATCTATCTATCTATCTATCTATCTATTTGTCTGTCTTTCTGTCTGTCTGTCTATCTGTCTATCTATCTATCTATCTATCTATCTATCTATCTATCTATCTATCTATCTATCTATCTATCTATCTATCTATCTATCTATCTATCTATCTATCTATCTATCTATCTATCTATCTATCTATCTATCTGTCTATTTGTCTGTCTTTCTGTCTGTCTGTCTGTCTATCTATCTATCTATCTATCTATCTATCTATCTATCTATCTATCTATCTATCTATCTATCTATCTATCTATCTATCTGTCTATCTGTCTATCTATCTATCTATCTATCTATCTGTCTGTCTATCTGTCTGTCTATCTATCTATCTATCTATCTATCTATCTATCTATCTATCTATCTATCTATCTATCTATCTATCTATCTATCTGTCTGTCTGTCTGTCTGTCTGTCTGTCTGTCTGTCTGTCTGTCTGTCTGTCTGTCTGTCTATCTATCTATCTATCTATCTATCTATCTATCTATCTTTGTCTGCCTGTCTGTCTATTTTTTTTTATTTATATCCTATCATATATTTCATACTATATATTTAATTCTCATAATATATTTAGATAGAAAGTAACCATCAAACAAAACACCGTCGAAACTGCATAGCAACACACTGTTATAGCGAGATTCATTCTTGCAAACACACTTTTTCTTCAGAGAATGTAAACATCCAGTGTTTTATATGTGTGTGTGTTTCAGTCTTTGCCACGCCGGCTCTCTTCAGTGTGATTTACAGGAATGTGAAGGTAAATCTCCTGTATTTATAACCGTCTGTTGCTCCTTATTTTACTCCCAGATCACATCGTCTGGAATCTAATAACTCTTCTACAATCTCTCTTTCACAGTGATGGTCAGCGAGTGGTCAGAATGGACCTCTTGCTCTCCGTGTATCCCAGCATCCTCTGCTGTCCCCGATCTGGTGTCGCTCCAGAGACGGTACCGGGCCTGTCTGGATGTGGACTCTGGGCGTCCGGCCCGCGGGAGAGAGAGCGAGTGTGGCGAGGCGCTCGAGGAAGAGAGGATCTGTCCACAGCCTGACATTTGCACCGGTGGGTCGCCCGCTGTTGCCATAGCAACACTTCATCAAACCCTTCCTGTTTTTATTTTTTATTTCTTTAATCAAACGGTTCCTGTATTGTACTCTCAGACGTCTGACCGCTTTAAAGCAGGAGCTAAAGGGCAGCATTGAACCGCACTTTCAGCTAACACTATAAACACAGCTCACTCGCACTGGGTGGAAATGTTTCTGTCCAACGACTTGGCTTGGCTCATGAATATTAATTAGCATAATTATCGTTAACTTAGGGGCTGTTCACACGCAACTAAAAACGTACAACTTTTTATGCGTTTTGGCCGTTTGTGTATTGGTGCCGAAAACACAAAGTTTTGAAAAACAACAAAAACATGAATCTCTGAAGACGATGACGTCATGCACATGCGTATAAAGTGTTCGGTCGTTAGTGTTCCACTGCCATCTACTGGCCAGGCGGCAGAATACAGCGCTTTTAGTCGTTTTCGCGCGTGAATCGTTTTGACGATGATGTCATCTGTACGTGGAGGAAAAACTTCTCTGTTTTAAGCATAACGTGTAAACGTACCCTTAAACTGTTAAAAAAAACATTTTGTTGATTGAAAATAAGCTGAAATAAAGTACAATTATTTTTATTCAGGACTAATTTTTAATCATAAAGTTAATTTAATTGTAAAATAAATTCCTATTGGTTTGCATCAATAAGTGCAGTAACTAATAATAATAATATTACACGTTTGGGAATTTGACATTAAAGCACCGAGCTTGAATTGAAAAACAGTAATGTGAATATATATATATTGCTAATAAGTGTTCCTCTGCCGCCATCTACTGATCATATTGGCAATTTCTTTTTTTAAATAAAAGTGTTTGTTTGCCATGAAGTTTTCATTTTTCCACATCTTTAAACTTTTAGCTTTACAAATCATCGCATTAAAAATGTACAATAAAACAGCTGGAAAAGTGCTGGAAAAGCCCTTGAAAAGTGTTGTACGAGCCCTGAGATGAATAATGTAAAAACATTTGACTATTTCCGCCAAAATACCATGGTCACAGTCAGCGTTACTGCATTACATCCATGCTGGATGATTTGTGGATTGAAAAGCCTTCTTTAACTTGTTCATTGATGGCAGTTTCTCTGGTGTCCACATCTGATATAAGAGAGGATTGTCAAACACTTTCTCACTGGATCTTGGATTGCCGCTTTAAAATGACTAACTTCAAATGTATAAAAAGCTAAAACTGAAAGAAAAATAAGTTAAACCTGAATAATAATATTTAAAAATAAATAAATGAAACTGCTGTGAAATGGCCAGTCCAGTCTTGACCTCATTAATATTCATGAGGTGAGCCGCTGTCTGCTGTGTGTTTGCTCAGATCTGTGTCACTGGAGTGTGTGGAGCGCGTGGAGTGTGTGTAAAGACCCCTGCAGTGGCGGATACCGGCAGCGGGAGCGCCGACCTCTGACCTCTGACCCCGGACCGCACTGCAGGAACCTGCAGACACAGTCTCAGAGCTGCAACACAGGCCTCTGTCCTGGTACACACACACACACACATCTTCATTTAGATGCTCATAATACTGGATGTGTGCTATATACATACATTTATTTTTTAAACGATTTTTACACACACACACACACACACACACACACACACACACATATATATATAAATTAATTTAGAAATATTTATAATTATTTTATTTCATTTAATATATAATTAGTGATAATATAAATAATGTTAATTGTTAAATAGTAATTAAAAAAAACGTATTTATATCCTATTTTTATTTTTATCCTACTGTATGATATATTTCCTTTTTTTATATATAGCATAAGAAATATATAAAGCTGTAATAACTATCCAGGGCCACAACTTTCTTTTATAATAGATACTCTGGGTAATTTGAGGTATAATATTACATTTTAAAATATATTCAAATATAAATCTGTTATTTTACATTTTAATAATATATTTCACTTATGTATTACTGGTTTTATATATTTTTAATCAAATTAACGCAGCCTTGGTGAGCAGAAGAGACCAATCAAAACCTGTATATAAGCCATATGTGATGTTTTCATCCAATCACAGGTGAGCATTGTGAGGACAGAGGGCGTGTCTTTGACTCCTCCTGTGCCAATCAGTGTCCCCGCAGCTGCGCTGACCTTTGGGGTCACGTCCAGTGTCTGCAGGGCTCCTGTCATCCAGGTACACTTTTACATTTAGTCATTTAAAGGGTCATATGATGCTTCTGTTTGGTTTAATGCAGTGTGTTTACACGGTCATTACTTTACACATACTGTACATTATTGTTGCTGGCTAATACGGGAAATATGCAATGTTGTGTTTTGAGTGCTGTATATAAAAAGGAGTGGATGTATTTTATCATTGTATGGCGATTGTGACCACACACATTTATATGCAAAACACCATATAAAGTGCATTTTGCATCCGATGACCCCTTTAAGTAGAGATGTTCTGACCTCTGACCTCAGTGTGTGTGTGGTGTGCGCAGGGTGTCGGTGTGCAGAGGGCCGGCTGTTGCAGGACGGAGTGTGTGTGCGCGTGGACGAGTGTCGCTGTGGGGCTCCAGTGGAGAACGGGACGCTAGAGATCCGGCCCGGAGACAACATCACCGTCAGCTGCAACACCTGGTCAGAGGACCGCATCTATTCTATGACACAACTTCACCAAACTATAGTTTAATAACGTCTACATGCGTATCTGACTGCACACTGAACCGAACTGGCTTTAGGACCCAGCGGGACAGCTCATTTACTCCATATAGAGATATAAGCCCATCTAGAGTCATCAAATATCATCTGTTATTATTATTTTACTCAAGAGGATCAGCAAAGACACACAATGTGAGATATTTAGAGCTGAATTAAAAGGGTTAAGCATAAAATTTGAGTAGTTTTTTATTTAAGTTGAAAGAATGTGAGGAATGTGCTAAAATTACACATTTTTTTGATTATTAATTGATTAAATCTAGTCATTTAAAGGTAAACAAAAATCTCAAAACAATCGGCATTAAGAAATAGACAAAATATTATCATAATGTAATAAAATGCAAGTAAAATAAGTATAACTTTAGGGTTTCGTGTCATTTTTTGACACAAACCGCGAGGGAAGGATGAGGACACTAGGGATGGGCAACGATTAATCGCATCCAAAATAAAAGTTTGTGTTTACATAATATATGTTTGAGTAGTGTGTATAATTAATTTGTATATATAAATACCCACATATGCATGTACTGTATATATTTTATATATATTTATTTACAATTAATATTATATATAAATATAAATATGTGATATATTAATAACACATTTTTCTCAAATATATACATGCATGTGTGGGTATTTATACACACTACACAAACATATATATATTATGTAAACACAAACTTTTATTTTGGATGCGATTAATCGTTGCCCATCCCTAACACTTATAACAAGCTCTTGCATATCTCCATAAATACACCAATGCCAATCTCTCTCTCTCTCTCTCTCTCTCTCTGTGCTGCAGTGTGTGTGTCAACGGCTCTCTGGCGTGTTCTGACCGGGTGTGTCCGCTCTACGGCCCGTGGGGATCGTGGAGTGTGTGTTCGGTCTCGTGTGGGACGGGGCAGAGGACACGCCGACGGACCTGCACACACACACCTGGAGGACCGGCGTGCACTGAGACCCTTCAGAGGGAAATCTGCTCTCGGGCGCCCTGTCCAGGTGACCCCACTGCCACTCACACACATGCTAATTATGGATCTACACAGGGTTAAACTCTCACATTTGGTTAAAGTCTCTCTGTAGTTTACATTTACATGTCTTCATTTAGCTGACGCTTTTATTCAAAGCGACTTACAATAGCTATATATGAGGTCAGAGGTCGCACGCCTTGGTGTCTCACAGTGGATTCGAACCCGGGTCTCTCACACCAAAGGCATGTGTCTTACCCACTGCGCCATCACCACCGTATCCTTGTTAATCCAGAAAGACATATTTAAATGTTTTTTCCTTCTTCATGCCTTAAAATATATTTTTAATGTAACTCGACACCCTTGTCTCATTTAGTATGCGTGGTTCTATGAATATGCAAATGAGTTTTTTAATGTTTTTGAGGTTAACGTGAATTATTCTGTGTGTGTTGTTAGCCGGTTGTGTGTTGAGCGAGTGGTCGTCCTGGAGCGACTGCAGCGCCTCCTGTGGCGGAGGAGTGTCACTGCGCAGGAAGACCGTCCTTCAGGAACCAGAACCAGGGGGTCCGACCTGCTCCCGACCCCTCGAACAACACACCGCGTGCAACACTAACAACTGCCTGCCTGGTACAGCTATACACACACACACACACACAGCCCAAAACACTAAACTGCATTTTTACATAAACAAAACAAACAAAAAACATTTTATTATGTTTATTAATTAATTTTGCTGAGCAAAAAGTCCTCACCAAGTAGGGAATCTCAAGTATTACTATCCTTGTGGGGACAGTTGTATAGCTAAAGTATAGCTAAACATGCCCACACACACACACACACACACACACACACATGAAGTAGATGTCCGACAGCTGAACAATGTCAAACACACTTAATGAAAGACAAACACGTATACGCCACGGCACCTATAAAACCCTTCAAACACTCATATAATACCTGTGAAGCGTTTTGTGACACCACTTTATTATGATGTCATAAAGCTTGACCACACACACTCATAACTCTCGCTGTGTGTGTTGCTTCGCCTGCATGAATCTCATGAAAAAAAAAAAAAAACATCTTGGAAAATCAAGAATATCACAGGAATAAAATAAGAAAGTATATTTGGCATAAAGACAATGAAGTTTACTTCATATTTACCTCCCAAATTCATATGAATGTGATGCAAATAATTTCTCATAGAAAATTGAATTGAATGAGTTGAAGTTTCAGTACACAAATTAAAATTAAAAATAAAAATTGGGATAAATGGGCTTAATTGTCCTTAAAATGGAAAAAATAAAAAATCCTAAGTGACATAATTGACTTAATATAAAATATTACTCTGATTGTTGCATGTTTATAGGATGCTTGTATGCATTCCATAATATATAATTGTTCATATTGAGGTGAAATATAGTCGCAGTCTTTGACCATTTTCATGCAGGCATCATAATCAATGTTCGTGTCACATTTATGGCTTAATGTTTCTATGGAGAACCATAATTTTGTTTATCCATCTTTTAGCTGCATTACAGCTCCGAGTGGTTCTCTTGTGTGCACTTATATGCTAATTTGAGTCGACGACGAGCATACGCAAAATATTAAGAGAACACGGGCACTGATTTGCATTAACGCACTGGAGCAGAATCTGTAAGAAGTGAACGAGGCGGCGTGTGACGGCCGTGTTCATTCGTTGTGTTTTTAGATGATAAGATGGACTCGCGAGAGGATGAAGTGTGTGTTCAAACAGCTTGATTACTTCTGTTAACCAACTTACTCTGTTAAACCAGCAGCAGATTCTTCCCTCATGGGACCCGGCAACTCATTTGCGTTTAGACGACTGTATTAAAGGCAGCCGTTAACCCTCAAATAACAATCTAATTATTTAAATGACATGCTAATTGGGATTGCGGCTTGTGTTGTGTGTGTCAGATTGTCCCGCTGGTCAGGTGTTCAGCACATGTGCCGGGTCGTGTCCGTACAGCTGTGAGGATCTGTGGCCGGAGAACGAGTGTGTGTCGGTGTCCTGCAGTCCTGGGTGCCGTTGCCCGCCTGGAGCCGTGAGTGACCCGCCCGTAGACATCATGTGACCTTTCCAGGAGATCAGAGTCATGAATTTCACCTCACAGAAGATTAAATTGGCAAAAGAAGCCTTGGGGATCTGAACAAGGATAACATCTGTAGACCACCTAGCAACACCCTAGCAACACCCTAACAGCTTCCTAGAACACCATAGCAATGTCCTAACACCCTAACAACCCCATGCAACATTGTAGCAGCTTTGAACACCCTAGAAACCCAATGCCAATATTCTTTCAGCTTCTTAGAACTCCCTAGCAACACCCTAGCGATGTTCTAACAGCTTCCTAGAACACCATAGCAATTTCCTAACACCCTAGCAACCCCATAGTAACATCCTTGCAGATTCTCAGAACAACCTAGCAACCCAATAGCAACATCCTTGCAGATTCTCAGAACAACCTAGCAACCCCATAGCAACATCCTTGCAGATTCTCAGAACACCCTAGCAACCCAATAGCAACATCCTTGCAGATTCTCAGAACACCCTAGCAACCCAATAGCAACATCCTTGCAGATTATCAGAACACCCTAGCAACCCAATAGCAACATCCTTGCAGATTCTCAGAACACCCTAGCAACCCAATAGCAACATCCTTGCAGATTTTCAGAACACCCTAGCAACCCCATAGCAACATCCTTGCAGATTATCAGAACACCCTAGCAACCCAATAGCAACATCCTTGCAGATTTTCAGAACACCCTAGCAACCCAATAGCAACATCCTTGCAGATTCTCAGAACACCCTAGCAACCCCATAGCAACATCCTTGCAGATTCTCAGAACACCCTAGCAACCCCATAGCAACATCCTTGCAGATTATCAGAACACCCTAGCAACCCAATAGCAACATCCTTGCAGATTCTCAGAACACCCTAGCAACCCAATAGCAACATCCTTGCAGATTCTCAGAACACCCTAGCAACCCCATAGCAACATCCTTGCAGATTCTCAGAACAACCTAGCAACCCCATAGCAACATCCTTGCAGATTCTCAGAACACCCTAGCAACCCAATAGCAACATCCTTGCAGATTCTCAGAACACCCTAGCAACCCAATAGCAACATCCTTGCAGATTATCAGAACACCCTAGCAACCCAATAGCAACATCCTTGCAGATTCTCAGAACACCCTAGCAACCCAATAGCAACATCCTTGCAGATTTTCAGAACACCCTAGCAACCCCATAGCAACATCCTTGCAGATTCTCAGAACACCCTAGCAACCCAATAGCAACATCCTTGCAGATTTTCAGAACACCCTAGCAACCCAATAGCAACATCCTTGCAGATTCTCAGAACACCCTAGCAACCCCATAGCAACATCCTTGCAGATTATCAGAACAACCTAGCAACCCAATAGTAACATCCTTGCAGATTATCAGAACACCCTAGCAACCCCATAGCAACATCCTTGCAGATTATCAGAACAACCTAGCAACCCCATAGCAACATCCTTGCAGATTATCAGAACACCCTAGCAACCCCATAGCAACATCCTTGCAGATTATCAGAACACCCTAGCAACCCCATAGCAACATCCTTGCAGATTCCCAAAACACCTTAGCAACCCCATAGCAACATCCTTGCAGATTCTCAGAACACCCTAGCAACCCAATAGCAACATCCTTGCAGATTATCAGAACACCCTAGCAACCCCATAGCAACATCCTTGCAGATTATCAGAACACCCTAGCAACCCCATAGCAACATCCTTGCAGATTCCCAAAACACCTTAGCAACCCCATAGCAACATCCTTGCAGATTCTCAGAACACCCTAGCAACCCCATAGCAGCTCCCTAGGCCTCCATAGCAACCACCGACACCTCCCTAGCATCATAGTGTCAGCTTCCGCACTGCTTGCTTCTGATAATGGATAGTCTAGTTGTGTTGTGAAGTAAAGCCGTCTGAGTTAAGCATCCGCTCCTGCCGCCGCTGTGTTTGTGGGGTTTGGACACCGATGGCTGTGGGAGTCCCTGGAGCACTGACTCGTGTAATCCTTCTGCAGGTGATGCTCAACGGAAGCTGCGTTCCTCAATCCCAGTGTCCTTGCTCCGTCCTCTCGCTCCTGTCGGCGTCTCCCAACGTCACCCTTGACCCCCAGGAGCCGGAGGTCCCCGCCGGAGCCGTCGTCCCAAACCTGTGCAACTCATGGTACTCGTCAAAGCGTTTATATCAGCCCTCTTCCTCTCGCAGCGAGTGTGTGTGTGTGTGTGTGTGAGTGTTTGAGAAAGAGCAGCTGTGGTTTTTGGATGGAGAATCAATAACTCAGGAACTCACTGATGCTTTTATAAGCGTGTCTCGGTGTCGAGAAGTGAAGCTCACATCCTCTCTGTGGACATATACAATATCAAGATGTTTAGGAAGGTCACTCTGACGGGGCTGACGGGGCCCTCACAAAATTACAGACATCATTTGAAGTAAATGCTCAGTTTCATTCAAAAGACATGTGTTAACAGGGCCTAAAATTAACACCAGCTTTGAGTAAAAATAAGTGTTTTGCTCGCCAGGCGGCCGGTACCATTTAAAAAAAAATTATTATGTATTTTTTTTTTATTGCAAAAACAGTATCTTATACAAGGGAAGAAATCAATTCGACACACAGAAGAGTGAAAAAAACAAACAAAAATAAATTATGAATTCTAGCAATGTACAGGTGAAACTCGAAAAATTAGAATAGGGTACAAAAGTTCATTTATTTCAGTAATTCAACTTAAAAGCTGAAACTAATATATTATATAGACTCATTACATGCAAAGTGAGATATTTCAAGCCTTTATTTGTTGTAATTTTGATGATTACGGCTTACAGATATGAAAACCTTTCCACAATATTCTAATTTTGAATTTGGGGTTTTCATAATCACTTGAGCGGACATATTCAGCATTAAAAATAACGAGTATCCTAGTGAGCATAGTCAGCTTTGCCTTAAGTGAACAGAAACAGTCGAGTAAGTAAATGCACGTGTAACAGAATACCGGATCCGTGCAGCTCTTAAAGTGACAGTAGCCTAATAAGTGTACGGTATATTAGGTAGGCTAGTAGTTTTTGCTATGTATCGAAATTAGAATAGAGAATTGTGAATTTTCACTTGTATCTGAAATGTTGGTGTTGGTACTTTTAGTTTTTTTTTTTTTTTTTCAAAATAACAGTTTAATTTAATTATAACATTATAAATATTTCTGGCCAGTACTTTTTCTTCACCGGCCAATAGCAAGTGTGGCAAAATGCTAGTTTTAGGCCCTGTGTGTTTTTTTAAATTCTCTAAATTCAGTTTTTTTATTTCTGCTAAATAAAATAAAGAATGAAATATGATGGAGATGTTCTCGACAGGTTTCTTTCTGTCTTGGGCAGTTTTCTGAACATCAAGCATGAAAAGTGTGTATTTTTACCTCTGATTCGTCTTTTGTGTTTGACTACAGTGTTTGTGACGGCGGACTCTTTATCTGCACTAACGAGTCATGTGACGGTGAGTCATCTGATGACCTCATACACATTATTTGTTTATCTTCATATTCTTACTGTATAACAACTTTTGACTAAATCTTCAGAGGAATTTTAAAAGAGACATAAGTTTCAACCACCTAGTAACACCATAGCAACCACCTAAAATACCATAGCAACCACCCTGATTGCCCTAGCAACTTCATAGAAACGCTATTGCAACCACCTAAAATACCCTAGCAACCAACTAGAACACCAAAGCATTTGTAAGTTGCTTTGGACAAAGACATCTGTTAAATGACTGAATGTGTGTGTGTGTGTGTGTCAGTGGACTGTGAGTGGAGCGTGTGGTCCTCGTGGAGCTCTTGTTCCTCGTCCTGCGGTTCTGGACATCAGTTCTCCAGCCGGACCGTACGCCGACAACACCAGTACAGAGGACAGGAGTGTGAGGGCCCGTCACACACACAGCGAGTCTGCAGGGGCCCCGAATGTGGTGAGAAACACACTGTGCAGTGTCAGCGGGACATTCTCTTTCCCTGTAATGTTTCAATCAGATACTAGCGTCAGCTGGCAGGCTTTATAATAATAATAATAATGTTATTTATGTTTTTTTTAATATTAATAATATATTTATTTTATATATATATATATATATATATATATATATATATATATATTGTCATATATATAAATATATATGGATATATACACAAATTAAATTTATATATATATATATATATATTATATATATAAAGGATGTATATATATATATATATATATATATTTTTTTTTTAATAATAATATTCATTATTTATTTAATAATTTATTTATTTATATATATATTTGTATATATATATATTTATTTATATTTATTCATATTCATTATTTATTTAATTTTATTTACATATTCATCCATATGTTTGTTTTTAATATAATAATAAAAATACTAATTTATTTATTCATTATAATTTATTGATGAAGTGTTGTGATGTGGCTGTAACTGGATGGGATCACTAACTCCTGCTCCACAGAGTGTCCTGAGGGCGAGCGCTGGCTCTGGAGTGTGTCCGGGCCCGAGCGAGTGTGTGAGAGGGGGTGTGTGGACCTCTACAGGCCGGAGCCGCTCAACTGCACCGGCGCCGGGGCCTCGGAGGGGTGTGTGTGTGAGGAGGGCCGCTACCGGAGCCTGGACGGCCGCTGTGTGATTCCAGCGCTCTGTCCGTGTGAAGAAGACGACGGGACGATTCGAGAGGTACTGTAGCACTACACACCAGGGCCTTCGCAAACACACCGGTAGCTCTAGGATCTGGCCTAGGGGTGTTTGACGGTTCCTCTAGGAGCGTTCTCCTGGTGTCGTTCGAGCGCCGGCAGGAATGGTAAATGGTAAATGGACTGCATTTATATAGCGCCTTCATAGACCTAATGGCCACCAAAGCGCTTTACATATTGCCTCACATTCACCCATTCATACGCTCATTCACACACCGAAACAGGAACTCTGAAGTGACCTGAGACACGCTTGCTGTTGGGACTTTTATTTTGACGGCGATGAGAATTCGCATTCTCCTGTTCGTTAGTGTACGATCTGTTTCTCTCGGTCTCCTCAAAGCTGTGTGTGAGTTTAAGATTAAGAGCTTCATCTATCTCTGCTCTACATGTGTGTAGAGTTACTTCCTGGAGTAATTATATAGTCTATAATCTGTGTGTTTACACGGCTTTTTAAAATGTCTTGTTGTGTGTTCAGTGGATCTGTGTGTTTACGTGGGTTTTTTAAAATGGCGGATGCTGATGTTTCGCGTGCGTTCGGCCAATCAGCGAACTCTACCGTCACTGTGGTTCCTCTAGCTCTGAAGGAGGAGGGAATCAGTTCCTACAGAAGGAGTTCCTGGAGCTGAAATGGTTCCCATTGTTCCCAGTTCCTGCGGTGCGAACACTCAAACTCCGGGAACCGATAGTTGGATGAAACGGCCGGAAAGCCCTCAATCACTCGCCAACACTGCTGCCCTTTATCCTGTAATTGCTGCTCACTTTGTTTATTTCTCCTCAGGAACATCATTAATAACTCTGATGGATAATTGCTCAGGGCATTTCAAGAGAAAAGATAATTGCCATCATCAATAATGAATAACTGATGAGGCTGTCTAATTCAGCTACAGTGGTAAAAGTTTCTTAAAGAAGAGTGATTTGTGGACGAGACTGATGATGTCACTTCCTGTGGCTGCCAAAACGCCTTCACCACAAAACAGAAAAACTGCACACACACACACACACAGTAATACATGAACAGTAGATCAATTATGTTCCTGGTCCATTAGTGGCCGTATTCTAAAGAAAACATGAATTAATTCATGAGTTATTCTAAAGGAACATTTATGACAACTTAAGAAATTAACAATACACTTTTATAATAAATTGTGCTAATAATTAGATACATAAACAAAGTCTCTTCTGCTCACTGATGTTGCATTTATTTGATTAAAAATACAGTAAAAATACACTTTAGAATAACTCTTTCTATGTGAATATACAGTAAAGTGTCATTTATTCTTGAATTTATCATCATTACTCCAGTCTTCAGAGTCACATGATCCTCCAGAAATCACTCTAATATCTGATGATCAACACACAGTTATGATTATTATTATCAGTGTTGAGAACTTCATATTTCTGTGGAAGCTGTGATACATTATATTTTACAGGATTCTTTGATGAATAGAAAGTTCAAAAGAACAGTATTTATCTGATATAGAATCATTTTTTTGATCCATTTAATGCATCGCTGATGAATACAGGTATTAATCTCTCTCTTTTTTGGTTAAATCTTACCACAAATGTTTGAATGGTATTATTTCCACAAATATGTTATGCAGCAAATGATTTCTGGAGGATCATGTGACACTGAAGTAATGATGTTGAACATCACAGGAATAAATTACACTTTACTGTATATTCACATAGAAAACAGATGATTTAAATACTAATAATATTTCAGTGTTTTACCTTATTTTTGATCAAATAAATGCAGCATTGTCAGGTTTCCAAACTTTTGTCAGGGACTGTGTATATATGTAGTGAAGTGTCTGTAAATCTGAATCCTGCATTGTGTGTTTTGTGTCACAGCCGGGGTTGGAGTGGGTTGACGGCTGTCAGTCGTGTCGCTGTATCAATGGCCAGAAACACTGTCAATCAAACTGTCCTCCACTGCAGTGCTCTGAGGTGAGAGATCGGACATTCGCCTTCACTACACACACACACACACACAAACTCGTTGTTTCTGACAGTTCAACTGATATCGTTTCATATATATTCCTAGTTTTGTCTTAAATCTGCTTATGCATTCTCACGGTTTGGTTTCACTCGTGTGTGTGTGTGTGTGTCGGCCAGTGAAGCAGTGAATAGCCTTGCATCAGAAATGAGCCAGTTAGACATGCTGGAAATAGACTGACCCGTTGTCCAGGCAACCGCTCCGGTCCGAGATCGAGTCCCAGATTGTTCTGGAGTGACGGCCGGGACGTCTCCGAACCTCAGCATCCCTAAACCCGGCCTCAGACAAACACTAAAAATACTGCCTACACCATTTGTTTCTTCTTCATCTACTCCAAAATTAAATTACACAATTTGCATTTTTGCTGCCGGCTCGAGTAAATGTCACTCCTCACCGTGGGATTGTTCCTGTTCACTCCAAACTACTATTATAATCATGGACGGAAATAAACTCTCACTTTCATAGTAAACCAGATATAAAAACAGTTTTCAAAGAGTCAGGATTTAACATCGCTGACTGTGGAAACTCTTAAACATATACACTACAAAGATTTAGCAGCTGCAAAAAAACAATGCTGAAAAAAAAAATCATAATTAATTTAGATAAAATAATTATTTTGCCAATTTTATTTCATTAAAGAATTATTTGTCACTTGGCGATGTGGCTGATAATAACAAATAACTAACACTTTACAATAAGGTTTCATGAACCAACAACAACAAACGATACTTTTTTAAAGCATTTATTGAGATAATCGCTGATATAATGTATTAGATTTTGACCATTGTGCATCTGACGTGTCTCAAGCTGAAAGACATTATTTATCAGCTTTAATTTATCAGACAGATTTGAATAAATAACATT